TTGTAGGTAGTTGTTATAGTCATTGTCGTAGTACGTATCTGAAATAAAGTTGTGTGAAATTTACTGGTTGTCACGATTGAATGAAGAATAGAATACAGTCCCAAGTTAAGCGAGCGTGGAAGACCTATATACTAGCGGGGTTTCCACAACAAAATGCACCTAGCAGTAAACAGTCTTGATATGAAATCTGATAGCAAAAACTTGTGGTATATTATTAATTTACCTTTATGTCAATGAGACACACATGTTTATAATACCTGTCACTGATGGCAAGAATCGATTCCTTACTGGCTTAAGGCCTTAAGCTCACAGCTCAAATAGTCGCTGCGAGTAATAACTGTGCTTGATATAATTTGTGCTATTTACTGTAGTTCTATTTGCTTTCAATGCCCCTGCAGCAATCCCTACCTTGCAGGTAGTTATTAATGAAATGTGAAAAACAAATACTAGTAAATCACAATTTCTATCTATTAATTCAAACCCAGGTTTGAACTTACTTCTCAATTGAACATATATTTTCTGGTTGCTAAGGCAAAGTAATATGCAGGGTGAAACTACTGGGGAATGTGACACCCCTCGTGTATCTTAATAATAATCACATCTACATTAGAATATGCTAGTCCCCGAGCCGATGGCGTGAAGTGCCGTGCGAGGGTACTAATTCCCCCCGGCTATTTACACCCGGGGAAACGAAAGCATTAGCGGAGTCTAAAGTTCATCAATTATCGCGGGCGTGGGTGACCAACGGTGTTGAATGGGTGGTCATCCTCACTGATCCCAAAAATATGGTGGACTGTCACGAATAGTGGACACTGATTGGTCCAATTTAAAGTTTGCATTATAACGACTGCATGACGACAGCGAAATAGCAGACATTTCTTGATTTGATGATTGATAAATTTCTTGCAAATATGTTTCATTTTTGCTCACATTTTTGCAAGATTTTGTAAATTTCAAAATCTCTCTGATAAAGAAACTGTGAAAGAATCGGCTAAAAGAAGGGAGCCGACATTAACGAAGGTAAGTTTGTTTTAAATATTGATTATATATGGGTTTTAAAACCTGACGGCCTTTGCGTATATGAAACAACTAAACAAAACAGCATATAATTTCAGTGTATCTTTAATATTGATTCCTTTCTTATGATATTGAATTATTTAAATAAAAAAGAAAGCAAAGTTATTTGCAAACTCAAAGTTTATCGAAAAAGCCATTTTAAAAGGCAGTTTAGTTTTATAAAGAACACTAGTGACTTTGAAAACGTTTTGCAGAGCGTTTGTGGTTGAATTTTACCTTAAACTGAGGCTTATATTACGTATAATAACATACATAACATATATATGTTGGGAAATTAATTTTGTAATTAAAAGTGATATTTTTAGGCGATTTTTCATTTGTAAGAATATTCTTAAAAAATTATCGTGTTACCATGACAACTACTTTAGATACTTCATGTTCGGAAAATACAATGGTTTTGTCAGCAAGGCGAGGGTTTCTGCATGCATGTATTTTCTAGTAATATATGGAGTGATAAGAACAACGTCAATGAATTCAATACAACTTCTGCAAAATAAATCCCAAGCTTATCTTGGATAGACCACCGCGCCCCGCCCCCCTCCCTCATCAAGTGAAGCTTTGTTGAAACTGAATTGCCAAATAGATCTCTTTACTAGACAAAAATTACAGCGTTGTGTATTTATTTCCATCTTATTCACGACCCTGACTGAAACAATGCGGTTGAACGTTTGTAGTTACAACACATGAACGAAGATACAGTACAATGCGCAAGGAATGAGCTGCAACTAAATGGGGAACAATGAACTCAATAAATAGTGCACTAAATGACTGGAATATTTTAACCATGGACCTAAGGACAACCAGTGTGATGAGGTCATTTGTAAAACATGACATTTGCAATGCCACTGTACTCTGCTGTCCAAATTACGTTACTTTAAAGTTTAAATTAATGAGCTTGATTTCTACTGGAAATTTTTGAATATTAAATGACTGTGATCGATATACATATGTATAACAATGAAATGCAGAAGTTCAAGTATCAATTACCGTACAAGCAAACAAACAAACAAACAAGCAAACAAACAAACCTGTACTTAAAAGCAATGCTAAAATGCACATGCTCAAGGAACTATTTACACCAACGATAATGTTAGTATTTGCACCAGTTATTATGAAGTAAAATAAGATAATCGAAATGGAAAATATAATAAGTGAGTATCGTTTTCTTAAACTAATCTTTGTATGACAAGAACATTGGAGACAATGATCAAGATGTACTTGATCAGGATATCTCTTCACCTCCGCCACTCCCTACTCCTGAAAGGAAGCGCAGTAAACTGCATTTCGTCACCTCTTTGTTGCAGTGGCTTTTATATTTCTTGCTTATTTGGCAGAGTATCTGTCACATAAGTGATAATGGGCTGGCCTGGTTATTAAAGTTTCTGTTTCAATTCTTCCGTGCACTTAACATCCATGTTTCAGATTCTGTTATCAAAGAACTCATTGCAGGTTTTCCAACCTCATTATATATGCTAAGGCAGTTTCTAAAGATTGACAGGGATGATTTTACCAAATATGTTGTTTGCCCAAAGTGTTACAAGTGCTATGAATATGGAGAGTGCTTAGTCGATAGGAATGGTCAGTATTTTGCCAAGCAGTGTTTGAATAAACTATATTCCAGAGGAAAAAGTCCCGTTTGCAATACCCAATTGGTCAAAAACGTTACACTGAAGGACAATGTAAGAAAATTTTATCCATTATATTACTACTGCTATAACAGTATTATAAATACTTTGGAAAATATGGTAACAAAAACCTGGATTTGTGGAAAAGTGTGAGAAATGGAGATCGAATGGAACAAGTGGCAATTATGATGATATTCTAATGGATGTATACCATGGCCAATTGTGGAAAGATTTTCAAAAGTTTAACAGTGAAGTTTTTTGAATACTCCAAGAAACTATGGTCTAATGTTAAATTTCGATTATTTTCAACCAATGAAGCATAGGAAGAATTACTCTGTCTGTGTTTTGTATTTGGTGCTTCTTAATTTACCCTGCAGTGAGAGGTTTAAGTGGGAAAATGTAATCGTTGTTGGCATAGTTCCATCTATGGAGCACAAACCAAAAAACCTAAACAAATTTCTACGACCGGCAGTTGCAGAGCTAAAAGCGTTATGGAAAGGTGTACTACTTACATCAAGTCTCACTGTTGTGCCACTCACATTTCGAGCAGCATTGTTGTGCACATCGTTCGATATTCCAGCATCGAAAAAGTTATGTGGCTTGAAAGGACACATTGGAGAACTTGGTGGCTCCAAATGTAAGAAAAGATTTCCTGGATCATTTGGCGAGAAACGCGACTATTCAGGATTTGATCATGATAGCTGGGTTCGCCGGACTAATGCAGATCACAGAAGGAGTGCAGGGAAACTTCGAAAAATTAAAACGCAGTCAAAAATTGTTAAGCTGTCTAAAAAGGGTGGAATAAATTACCATGCCTTGCTTGATTTGAAGTTATTCGATGTGATTAGATTTTGTGCAATAGATCCAATCATAGATATCTCATATACACTAGATAGCGTATCTATTTTAGTAAAATTGAAGCCAAGAATATTCCAGTGGTTACCCCCATTTGAGTAGATGGTGGCCATGTTGGTCATTCCCACTTGCTAATAAACGCTTAAAAACAACAATAACTGTCATCATTTGAATAGTTTAACTCATTCCCATCCGGTCGAAAAGTAGCAATTTCGAGTGGTGTTGTTTCAAACGCATATATCTTCCAAACTATACATCGTGCGGAAACAGAAATGGCATCATTCGAAAGAGGACGACTTCTTCTGCTTTCCAACGATACCAATTTCAATTTCATCCGGGGCTTGGTTAACAAATTACTTGCATAAATTTGCATAAATTATAATATAAAAAATGTTGCAATTATGCATAAATGTATTTAGCGGTTCAAATTTCAAATATGTCAAAAAATTGAATATAACTAAAGACACGGTTATGATCTACAAGTACCCGAAGTTTCATGCATGTAGCATAAATAGAAGTATTTTTATTGAATTTTTATATAAACTCTGTAGTGGAGTAAAATTTACATTTTGTGCTCACATGAAACAAATACCTTTATCAAAGGTCCTTTTTCATTGCCGCAACATATTATCAATACAAATTTCCAATATTTCGTACTCTCCAACGATAGTATGGCACCAAAATAAGTCTGTGATACCCACAAATGAACACTCAAATCATGATTAGCAAAATATCTTTTTTTCTACAGTTACTACATACATTCTTAGATAATCATTACACCATTGACTTTAGTTATTAGTGGCATAACCTGCCTGAAAATTTGGTCATGCTATTCAAATTTGAAATAATCACTACTCATTTGTTTAGAAATGGATTGTTTTCACAATCTAGAACATGAAAATATTTGCATATAGCATGACCAAGTGTTGTTGGGCTGGCATCATCATTAGTAGTTATAAAAAAGTAATGTTTTCCAAGGCAATAATGTTTTCCAAGGCAGTAATGTTTGCCAAAGCAGTAATGTTTGCCAAAGCACATAATTGGATTATGTGGTGAAAATATTTCCTTTATATTGTACCACAAAACACTATAACCAAATCCGTTGCGATGAATATCTGGACTTTTTCCTGTATAAATTTCAAAGTCGCAATATAACCATTAGGACTGTCTCCAGCAACTCACAGATTTATCTCCCACATAGTAGGCCATCTTTCATGAACTGCCTAATCCCCAACCTATTTCTTGATTTGACAGTGTGTTTGTCACGAACAATATTCTGTGACGGCTGGTACAGTAGTTGATAATGTTTATTGCTGTAGCCTTTAGTGACAGGATCTACGTACCATATTCACAAACGCCATAAGCGCTTTGTACCTAACCCGAGAAATTATTTCTATTGCCCACAGACCATGATATAAGGTTTTACACTCCAATAATTTTCAATCTCACTGTCTACCTTTACCAAACCTGCATATGCTAAAAGGCAATCAACCTCTCAAGGTTGGTGGACTGCAAGACCCTTCTTTATTATTTTACTTCGCCTAGGAATCAGAGATTTTTTGTGCCTAAAACACCATACATTTTCGTCAACAGTATCAATAAATACCATTTATATTTGTCAATTTCAGTATGAAAGGATTATTTCAATACAAAAAAGCGATATGAGGACATACTTGATCGTACTAGTGAAGCTATACTAAATACAAATAAATTTACAACGCCATGGCAACGGCAAAACATTGAAATAGAAATTGTCTGGAAATGATAAAAATACTTGCCTTGAAACTCCAGACACGACTCCCAATGCCGAGAAACAATAAAATTATATGCAAGAATTAATGAGCGAGAAACAATAAAATTATATCAATATTTCGGAATATATAGTATCAATCAAGCGGAATTTTTTTGGTGGTATTTTCGTATTTCTACTGCAAATACTCGCGGAGTTCTTTAATATTTAATCTTCCCGTCATATACGTTGGAAATTAATATTGGCGGATTGAATTGAGTTAAAAACGTATTTGGAATGGGGTTAACTTAATGTTTAAGTTCCCTGTTTAAGAAATTGAAAACATACGAGTCTTCGCATTTCATGGGAATGACCTGAGACTGCAGTCACGGCTTCAATTTTTGAATTGCAGAATAATTAGATGCACTATCTAGTGTATATAAGATATCTATGGATCCAATGCACAACCTCTTCCTGGGCACTGCAAAACATGTTTTTAAATTATGGGTCTCCGAAGGCCATCTTTCCAAACAGCAATTAAAACCAATTGAAGAAAGGTTGGCTAAGATGGAGGTGCCACCAGGAATGGGATGTTTGCCAAAGAACATCTCGTCTAATCAGTGTTCGTACACGGCAGAACAATGGAAGAACTGGACATTAGTCTACTCTATGTATGCACTGAAAGATATACTGCAAGCCGAACATTTAAAATGTTGGCAAGTGTTTGTGTTGGCATGTGGCTATCTTTGCAAACCAATGCTCAGTCAAGACAACATTATCATGGCAGATGGCATGCTGTTAAAGTTTTGCAGAAATTTTCAAGCACTCTATGGAAACAAAGCAGTAACACGAAATATGCACCTTCACTGCCATCTCAAAGATGTCACTCTAGACTTTAGCTTCGAACGTTACAATTGGGATCCGTTGGAAGTATTATTACCAACAATAGGTCTATTGAGCTGCAGCTAATGAGAAAGATCGTACAATGTGCGATGTATAATCTCTTTTTTCACGACATTATGGCTTCTTTGAAACTCACTGGGGAGGATGTTTTGCAGAATGATTGCAGACGCCTTCATTTTACAATTTCTTAGAATACTTTCAAATTTGTGAAAAAATGCCACTTCATGCAACCAACTGGAGTAATTTAAGTTCATTATCTCTACCAACACATTATAAGAAAAGCTTACTGGATGATGATCTATGTATAACAGTGAATCAAAACAAACCAGACAAGAATCATTAAGAACCAGACATTACAAGTTTGACCTTTCACACCAGAAAAGCAGTTTACTTCTGGACCAATAGGATTACAGAATTACGCAGTGCTGGTTTAGTCTTGAAAAGGTTTCATGCATGGACCAATCAAATTAGAATATCAAGAACTGATTTCCGTTTTTAGCCAATCATCTAGGTTGTTTCAAACAAGGCTGTCAACAGCTTGTAATTTTCACATGTCAATACTGTTTCCTCCCCATATGCCATGCCTTATGTCTGTTGTCTGGTGTTTATTTAATTGAGTAGCAAGAAATATGAACCCTTTGTGAACATATTGATACATTAAATTGAGTTGTGGGCTAAATTACCAAATGTGTACCCTCAGATAAATAAAGCTCTCAATTCAACTAGAAGACATACTATTTCATATACTCATTAGTTCCATATCAAGACTATATTATTTTGTATTAATCGTAATGTGCCAGGGCAAAGCTAAGATCAATTTTAATTGAATAATAACGCACGCTTTTTGCATGGCACGCGTTTTGGCGCGCTTTTTGGCGCGAAGTGTGTGTGCGGCGCTCATTTAATATAGCAAAGTTTCAGAGATGGTAGATATATAATGTATGTCTGTACCTTATAACCAGCAATATGAACAATTAAGACCAGAACCAACCAAACAGCTAAATTCACCAACCAGAGAAATTCACCATTCTGACCAAATACATAAAGTACTATGAACACCGATAGCGACACAGCACATGCACAATATCGTTTTCCACCTTTTTAACGCTTTAACAATACGAATCCTGTGGATATGAAGTTCATTGTAGAAAATATTTTAAATTTTATCCATTTTGTCTGTGATCTGTACATGATCACAGGTTCACTACAATGACGAGTGTCAAGAAAACCAATTATCATTTAATAGTCAAACCAACACGAAGCACTGAAATCTTGTCATTTTTTAGCAAGGGCATGAAATACAGTTTGTAATCTGACCAACAGATTCTATATTGAATTTTAATATACTGCGACGCAGCACTTAACAACATGTTATATTAATCTTCATGAAAAGGTTTCATCCGCGTACCAATCAAATATGCTTTGCGTTGAGAACTGATTTCCAATGTTAACCAATCACGTTTGTGTTGTTCATTCGGTAGTGACCAGGCCTGGTATCAACTGTGTGTTTAGTCAACATCCTGTGTTATATAAAATCTTAAAGGGTTTGTGCCAAATTTTATGATCCTGTATTAATATGTATTTCATGCAGTCAAATTTAATCAGGATTACAGGATACGGTTGCATGTTTTGAATGGCTGAATCTGAACAATCAGAATCTACATTGAATTGTAACAATAATCAATATATACTGCGAATGGAAAAGGTTTCATCTGCAGACCAATCAAGTATTTTACACCAAGAAGTCATTTCCGTGATTAAATTAATCACACGCGGTATTGTTTAATTGGGAATTGACAAAACAGTGAAAATTTTGTCATTCCGTCGCCAATAGGCAATTTAAAAGATGGAATACAGTTCATAATCTGACACTGCGATGCAGCACTCAATACATTTTAGATTAATCTTGAAAAGGTTTCATCGGCGGACCAATCAAATATGCTATGTGTTGAGAACTGATTTCCGTTGTTAACCAATCACATTTGTGTTGTTCATTCTGTAGTGATCAGGCCTGGTATCAGTGACCAACTGCATGTTTAGTCAACATCTTGTGTTATAAAACTTGAAGGGTTTGTGCCAAATTTTATGATCCTGTGTTAATATGTATTTCAGTCCAATTTAATCAGGATTACAGGACACGATTGCTTGTCTTGAGTGGCTAAACAATCAGAATCTACATTGAATTGTAACAATAGAATAGAATAATTTATTTAATGTTGAATGACACAGAGTGTGGTTGCCCAATCACTCGAGCCAGGGGCTCATGATAGAAGTGTTCGACAAAATACATATTTACCAATATATAAAACATTTACATGGTAATAATTAATTAATAATCTATATACTAATACTAACACTGCTACTACTACTACTACTACTAAATGCATGCATAGCATTGACAGCCAAGTAAATCAGATTGGTGAATCTGGTTTCTAAATTCAGATAATGAGGTAGATGACTTGGCAGAAAGTGGTAACTGATTCCAAATATGGGAAATAATATACTTATAGGAGTTATGCAAATAACGACTGTTATACACATCCTGTACCACATTATGACCACTACCTCTTAAAGCATATGGAGTATTACAAAGTTTAAAAAAATTAGAAATATATGTAGGGCCATTTTGCTTGAAACTTTTATAGAATATTATTAACGACTGCTCAACTCTCCTGTGTTCAAGCGAGCACATAGTTGCTAAATTCAAAACCGATTCATAACTCACATTTCTTCCTAATTTCATCAATGTACGTAAGCCATAATAATTAGCGTTTTCAAATTTACTTTTAAGTGTTTTACTTATACCTATAAGCAATGGGCTACAGTATTCAAGATGCGGTAGAACATAAGCCTTATAAAGCTTAATGTTTCTTTTGGCACCATACATTTCAGTCGTTGTGGGGCAGCAATCTTGGCAAATACTTTCCTAAGAGTATCCTTGATATAAGGTTTAAAATTCAGCTCTTCGGCTAATGTTACTCCCAGAATTTTCAGAGTATCTTCGGTTTTGATAGTTTGATTGTCAACTTTCAAATCATAACTATATTGAGACTTTCCCAGTATCATTGCTTGAGTTTTTTTCCATTAATGTGGAGATAGTTAGCATTGAACCAGGCGGATAGTGTACAGATATCCTGATTAAGGGTATATTCAAGAATAGCTGGGCTAGTATCATGGGCATATTGGGTGGTATCGTCAGCATACAATTGAAGGGATGAATTTCCAACTGTATAGTTCACATCGTTCACAAAGATGTTAAATAATAAAGGTCCCATGTACTGCGAATGCAAAAGACCAATGAAGTATTTTACACCAAGAACTCATTTCCGTATTTAAATTAATCACGCGCACTATTGTTTAATTGGGAATTGACGAAACACCGAAAATTTTGTCATTCCATCACCAATAGCCAATTTAAAAGATGGAGTGCAGTTCGCAATCTGACACTGCGATGCAATATTACCTCTTAGATTAATTAACCTTGAAATGGTTTCATCGGCGGACCAATCAAATGTGCTCTGTGTTTACTACAGAGAACTGATTTCCGTGTTTAACCAATCACGCTCTCGTATATTGTTCATTCGGTAGTAATTGGTCCTCATATATCATGTTGCAATGAGAGCAACTGGCATGTTTATTCAACATCCTGTGTTATAAATCTTGAACGGTTTGTGCCAAGTTTTATGATCTTGTGTAATTGAGTTTCAGTCTAATTTGATCAGGATTACAGGATATGGACTAGTTGCATGCCTTGAATGGCTGAATCTGAACGATCAGAATCTACGACTACGTTGAATTGTAACAATAATCAATATGGTGGCTGCGAGGGAGACTAATCCATACCGGGCAGGCTTGAAAAATATGCCTGGCCACAGCGGGCGGGATAATATGCCTGGCCACGGCGGTATAAATATGCCTGGCCACGGCGGTATAAACATAAAACTTTTATGTATTCGCAGTATATGTAATAGTTTTATGTTTATAGTTTTATGTTTATTTAATGTCAAAGAATTATCAAAAGTCAAAGTATTATCAAAAGTTTTATGTTTATCTAATGTCAAAGAGGTAATATACCAAGCCGAAATCTTAGCTTAGGTTAATAACATGAATCACAATTAATAAAGTATCTCGGCGGGCATAATACTCACTCTTTAAATGTACATGAATAAAATGCCCAACAACTCACATTAACTCACATTAGCTGTCTCCATTCAAGAGTTCAGAACACTCTGCTACGACTTTATTATCAAAAAATAGGCTCGCTCTTTCATTCATTTTTGTTTGTTTGGGCAATTGACAGGTTATGCTAAATTTAATTTTATTTACAGTCGTGTAATATTTAGTTATAGTATATACAGTAGAATATTGGCGTTGAAATGTGGTTAAGACATATATACATATATACTTGTAGATATATATATACATATACATAACTTTTTGGTATAGTCTCTTACATGAGCCTTCAGTTGATATAAAACATGCATTCCAAGTGTTATGCCTAAAATCAGGATAGCTGTGAACTGTCCGTCAGCAGGGTGTTATCACAATGACGTCACGTTTAAGATTCACTGACAGTTTATCGTTCAAAATTCTATATTGTATATTAAAAACCAACTCGCTCGAAAGAACTCGCAGAGAGATATACAGCTGCGAGCCGTACTACACCATTAAAAGAGTGTTGCGCGAGATCAAATCCCTCTCCAATCAACTTTTTATATTGACTATAGACCCATTGCACATGACGTCACAGCACCGGTGACGATGCATCTGGAGGGAAAATTAGCAATCTATGCATAATATAACTTTTATAAACAAAGCAATTTTTTATTAAAATGGTTAATTTTTGTGCTGTATGTGGTTGTTGTACCCAAACAGATACTGTTAGAGAGCATCTGGAGGACACTCTGAGGATTTCTGACGTCAGTGCAAATTAAGAGTCTGTTTTATCAGAGTCAGTCAGAAACGCATGAAGAGAAGATTTCAAACACGAGTTAAAACTCGTGTTTGAAATCTTCTCTTCATGCGTTTCTGACTGAAACGCGTGTTTGAAATCTTCTCTTCATGTGTTTCCGACTGACTCTGATACTGTGTATACCATTATCGCCAGTCTAATGATAACACACTAATAGTAACTAACGTGTTGGGACATCTAAAACAGCTATTTTTTCGTTCTTTTGATCTTATTGATCTATACAAGATAAAACAGATATAGAGTATTAAATATTACAACTGCATAGTAGGTTTGCCAGGCTAATAGATGATTGCAATCTGTAGTATTCAACGAAACGGTTCGCTGTTTTGATGAATGATGAGTCATGCAGTATAGGTTCACAAAACAGATGTAATGTCATATCGTTCCCCCCAGGCAACTTGACACTCGCTCGAGACCTATTTTATTGACGCAATAATAAAATTGGCTTCGTATCTGTCTTCGATCGTCACACTTTACATGCCATATATGGGGCTACTTTATAGATCCTGTGATAAAATGTGCTTATATACAGTACATGCCAGACAAAGTAAAAAGTGAAGTGGTCTGCTTGGCAAATGTTTTGCCATCTTTTGATCCTGCAAATTAGTTTTCAGATCATAGATGAAGTGTGTTGAAAAGAGCACAAGACGTACCTCCTGAGAAAGTATTGTTTTTATCCATCAGCCTCTCAAGCTCAGCTATTCTCTTCTCAGTAGCCTCGTCAGACATCAATTCCATGTCATTCTTGACTTCCCGATACACAAGATCTTTTAAGGGAAAAGACCATTTTCCAGCTGCTTGTAGTTCTTCATCACTACATCGTTCCCAAGACAGGCGTTGTTCCTCCACCGTCTTGATGAAATTTAGCCACCAATTCGATTCGTCAACAGAAAGTCTTGAGCTAAACTGCTGTAATCCAGTCCTTAAATCGTCAACGCTGGGACACTTGCTATACTCTGGTCGCAATATGGATGGGGGATCCAGTTGGTACAACATCAAGGGTACGGATTACATCTTCTGGTTTAATTGGTAGCCATTCCTTCTGCTTACATTTGGACCAATTGCCGTAACACATTTCGATGTGCTCAGCATATTTGCCCTTGCCTTTCTGAAACCTGAAGGAATGGTGACGGGAATGGTTTTTAGCGCTGGAATATACACGGCTGTAACCATGACTTCACATCCCATATGGTAGGAAGGTCTGCAGTAATTGGCTATGGGGTAAAAGACACATGAATTGGTTCGTGAAGGGAATGCAGTGTATGAGCGGACTGTCTTCCCAACGTGGCTGATATCCTACTGAACATCTAAAGACATAAGGAGATCATAGAGAATGTTATTCGTTGTGTGTATGATGTTCATCGAATTTATCAACTAAATGTCTGCCATCATACCTGGTCAACATGTTGAATACAATGGTATTCAATCATCTTCTAATGAAATTAAATGCGGTGTTCCCCAAGGATAAATTCTTGGTCCACCTTTCTTCCTGTTGTATATAAATTATATTTGCAATGTCTCCAGTATTATTAATTTTATCCTATTTGCTGACGATACTAATCTATTTCTTTCTCACAATGATCTTTCGTTTATGATGAATACAATAAATAGTGAAATGCTCAAGCTGTCAGAGTGGTTTAAAGCCAATAAACTTTCAATTAATATTCAAAAATCTAGTTATATGATTTTCAAAACTAGGCAAAAGAGATATATACCTGAGTTTAGTATAGAAATTAATAATACTAAAATCAAACAGGTTAATGAGGTTGTTTTCCTCGGAGTTGTTCTCGATGAAAATTTATCTTGGAAACCTCATATTTCACATATCTCACATAAAATTTCTAAATTAATTGGAATAATTTACAAATCGAGTTTTTTCCTCTCTAAATCTTGTTTAAGAACTTTGTACTTTTCATTAATCTATCCGTACTTGCATTATTGTATTTTGGTATGGGTTCAACTTATCAGTCTAATCTGGAATGCATCGTATTGCTTCAAAAACGTGTAATAGAATAATTAATAAGAAGGAATATGATGCTCATACTTCTCCTCTATTTAAAGAGAGTGTGATTCTCAAACTGAATGATATTTATCTATTGTGCTTGGGAAAATTTATGTATCTTGCTTCTAGAAATTCTCTTCCTCCTAGCTTTAAGAATTTGTTTTTGGTAAATAGTGAGGTACATGGCTACAATACCAGAAGTTCGAACCTAATTTATAGTATACCATTTTGTAGAACAAAATTACGACAATTTTCTGTCTACTATCAAGGTCCAGTATTTTTTAACTCCTTGGACCAGAATTTACGGAACGCCATGTCTGTCTATTCTTTCCAATCGAATCTTAAAAAGCATTTAATTTTCGATAATTTGTCCGATGATTGTAACTAAATAGTATCTAATTTACATCTAGGTGTGTGGATCTAAGTATCTTCGTTTTGATATTATGTGTGTGTCCTTGTATTATATTAGTTTCCTTACTATATGTCTGCTCGCTATTCTACCTCATATATATTTAGATAACTTATTCTTTAATATTTGACATGAGGTAGTCTAGCAATTAATAAGCCTTGGCTTCTAGTTGGACTACCTCGTCACAATTTTTCATTTCTTCTTATTACTTTGTAAATTGTTGTATCAACCAATTGTGGCAAATTAATAAATTCAATTCAAATGTCGGAGACTGGGTAGGAACAGTGTTAATTTTGTTGAGCGAAGCACATTTTTTGTGAGACTTGTGAGAGGCACTGAGAGCGAAGTGAGATTTTATAGCGAAGCGATTTCTATTATTAAATATAACTTTTAAACTTTAATTTGTGAGTGATTTTAAGCGAAGTGATGTATTATTTGTTGGGAATCAGTTTTGGAGGCAAACTTTCCTAACACCTGGCACCTCCGACGGGATATTGATGAAATTTGTGAATTATTTCTGGATTTTGACCTCAACAGACAAAGTTTAGGTACGAATTTTTTAATTTACTGGCAATATTTTGTGGCGATATTACATAACGTTTGAGAGATTATTGTCAAGGACTTGTTTACTTTCTGAACTGTGGGATTATATTCGTATTTCGGTGATTTGTGAGCGATATATTTTCTGTGTAACTTGTGTACTGTGAAGGGTGTTACGGCAACCCGCGAGTTTAGCCCGCGACCAGGCTAGAGTGTGCGAAGTTCCGCCTGCGAGATTCGGTCCTAGAGGGGCCCTCTAGAGGTACAGTGATTTTCAAACATTTGTGATTTTTTGGAGTGATTAGTAAAATTTGGCAGCTGTTCCCAAATTTTAGTTGGCTGGAAGGACATTCTACAAGTGCTATATCTTATTGGCAAATTCTATATACTTTATAATCATACAACATCAAATCTATTGATACTATGGCAACTGGGAACAGTGTAATTGAGAATAAGTTAGTACAGCTTAAGCTTATAGTTGGGCGAACCAGAAAGATTCTGGAATCCGGAAATCAAGAAGCAGTTGAGCGACAACAACGAGCTTTGCGAACCATTGTTGCTGACATAGACAAATGTAAAGTGGAAGAAGAAGCAAGAATGATTGACGAGAAAAAGGAGTTGACAGAAATTAGTGAATGGAATTCAAACATCGAGGAAAAGTTATCTGAAGCAGACAAGGACATTCATGACCTGAGAGAATGGTGTGAAAGTAAGAAACGAGAATGCGAGGAAAACCAGCGGAAGCAAGAATTAGATTTTGAACATGAACTATTTCAGACACGCCTAAAATTCCAGAATGAGCCACAGACAGCTAAACTAAAGCAAGAATCAGCAAGTGTTGAAAAGAAAGAGTCACAAGCAAAGTTACCTAAACTCATCATTACTAAATTTAATGGCGCCTACCAAGACTGCCCTCGATTCTGGGAACAATTCCGAGAGACGGTGAACAAAACAAGTATTGATGCTGTCATTAAATTCACATATTTACAAGAGTTGTTGGAACCTAAAATCAGGAAATCTGTGGGATCACTACCCTTTACAAGTGAAGGTTATAATAGAGCAAAGAGTATCCTTCAAGACAGATATGGGAAACAATCAGAAATAATAAAGGCTTATACCAAACAGATTTTTGATTTGCCCAAAATTCCGGATGGTAATGTGAAGCGAATTCATGAGTTCTCGGATAAATTATCATATGCTGTGCAGTCTTTGGAAACTCTGGGCAAACTTTCTCAAGTCAATGGGTATGTATCGAGGACACTAGACAAACTACCTGGAATACGTGGCGACCTTGTTCGAACTGATGATGCTTGGGAATCCTGGGACTTTGTAAAACTGTCTGATGCGGTGAGACTCTGGACTCGGCGAAACCCAGTTGAGAAGCTTTCTTCAGGAAAACTGCTTAATGTCGGACGTCAAGATTTTACTCCCAAGGGGTGTGTCTATTGTACTGAGAAATCACACAGATCAGCAGAGTGCCCAAAAGTATCATCTGTGTCTGAAAGACGGTTGATTCTTACCAAACAACATCTGTGTTATAACTGCACTGGTTCATCACACCATGCGAATGATTGCC